GAAACAGCGGGGGTGTCCAAATTCAGAGGCTGCTTCCACCTGAGGACCCGGCCTTCGCGGTCTAAAGAAAGCCGGGTAGTACGTCACGAGCTCCCTCGGTGGAGTGAAACTCTGCCGTCTGCTCCTTGCTATCTAAAATATAACCGGGCACTGACGTAAACTCTTCTGTTTAATGATCTTCTGTTTGACGTTTATTCAGCTGTGTGAAAACCCCGGAGGAACCCTCCCGAGGGATTAATAAAGTTAAATTTAATCTAATCTAATAACTTTAATCTCAGCCAAACCGATTTACTCACGAACAAATAAAACACTGAAAATAACAATAACATTTTTAAGTTATCAAAGTGACTTGTATATCATGTTTAACCCGAGTAGCGAAAGACCGCGGGGGTTTGAAGACGATGTGTCGGTCGGCTCAGATATTTGAAGTTTACTACATTCTCACCTAAAAATATGTTAAAAGTTTTTTTGCGACCCAGAAAGAGAAATAAGAGTAATATTAAAACTAGAAGCTGCCGCCATTGTTGGAAACTAGAATTGGCTGGGCCGCGCTATGAATTCTGCTATATGTTTTTTCAATTTTGTTGTCCGGGTGGAAAATCGGGAGAAATTCGGGAGAATGGTGGCTCCGGGATTCTCCTGAAAAATCGGGAGGGTTGGCATGTATGGTTGTGGCAACATCACTAACCTTGTCAAACACCTCAGAGTAAATCATATCACAGAATATGACGAGCGTATGTTTAGACGAACTGAAGACGAGAACAGGGACAGGTGACGTCTCTCACGGAGTCCTTTAGTGCTGCAGGCAGGCAACGTGTTCAAATAGCAAAACTTCAGTTTTTTTATTTCTATATGATGAACCCTACATTATTAAGTGATAAGAACAAGTAATCTGATGTCCTGTAATCATTATGATGCTATAATTTGAGATACAATAAATAAAATAAGTTTTTGTACAAAGTATCGGTATCGGATCAGTATCGTCGATACCACCCTGAATATTATTTGTTATCGGATCGGAAAGAAAATCAGTGGTATCGCACATCACTAATAGTTATATAAGAGCAGATGCATGCTGGTACGTTTTATGTCCAATGGATGATGATCTGATTAGTCGACTAATAGCAAAAATAATCTGTGACTAGTCGACTATCAGAATAATCGTTTGTGGCAGCCCTAGAACACACACACCCAAAATGCATTCACAAGGCGTCTCTCATGGGAATATCTGTGCTGTTCAGTGTTGTGTGTGATATTCCCTTAAGTGTGTATGTGCTTATTGCCTTTAACATACTCAACTAGTTTCTAATTTCTTCTTGTTCTACGTGGAGCTGTTACACCGATAAACAGTAACAGCACTAATTGTTTGATTAATAAATGCACGTTTCTCTTCAGCGCCAACATCTCCTCACCTGTTCGTTGGTTGTTCGTCCTCGAGCTACGAGCACCATGTGAAAACCTGTGAGTCCCATGACTGGAATAAAGAAAAGACCCGCTATGCACATCACTACCAAACTGAGCACAAAGGTCAAGGTCATAATAATGTAAGGTCACGGTGCGAGTCATATATGCACGATACAAGGAAGTTTACAAGAAATAATAAAGAATCTAAAGCTAATAACACAAAATGATTTTTGTAGGATTTACAAACGTGTAAGGATACGTGACAGTGGTGTGCAGCGCTCCCAGCGTTTCTCTGTGATCAAGGACAAAGATGAGGCCAAAACAGAACACTCCCACCATGTGAGCACTCAGCGACAGCAGGAAGAGGAAGAAGTAGCGGTAGTTTCTCCGTCCAATGCAGTTGTTCACCCAGGGACAGTGATGGTCAAAGTCCTGAGAAAGGGAGGAAGTTTTCTATTTAGAAATTTGGAGAAACCAATCAGAAGAACTCTTTAAGGTTTTAAGAAGGAAAAAAAAAACCACACAATGTAAGTAAGTCATGATGGTACAG